GATAAATGAAGTCCTGTCTGCATTTTAAACACTCTTTAAAAAAAATCACATATCACTATCTCATGGGAAGGGCACTCCACTTCTTTTGATATATACTCTGTGCTTGTCATCCAAGCATATAAATAAAGAGGTGAAGACTGACCATACTGGTAGGCGTAACCTTGATTCTGATATTCTGTAAACTTGGAGAAGAGAACTCTCACCAGGGCAGTAAATTGCTACAGTGAGGCATGACTGAGATTCACATGACAGGATTCCTGATAACTTTTTCTCTGGGAAAGACAAAGTCACATCCAGTCCAGCTTCGAAGTCTTGTCATTCTGTTTTTGTTTTATAATTATTATTTTTTTTAGCTATAGATGGACACATACCTTTATTTATTTTTGATGTGGTGCTGAGGATTGAACCCAGCATGTGCCTCACACATGCTAGGCAAGTGCTAGCACTGAGCCACAACCCAGCCCCATTCTGTGATTTTTATATGCTTGTAAGTAAGTGTTTATAGATATGTTCAGCTTTAACACTAAGAAACTGCCTCATAACAAAACTATATGACAAAATTATTTTATTGAGAGGACATGCAACTCCATGTGCCAATTACTACCTTGATTCTCTACTTCTTTGCCAAGGACAAACTAGTTTCTGAATATGCATGTAAGTCATTTGATAAGAGATTTATTGAAGGCTGGGAATACAGCTCAGTTGGTAGAGTGCTTGCCTCACATGCATAAGGCCCTGGGTTCAATCCCCAGCATCACAAAAAAAAAAAAAAAAAAAAAAAAGAACAGATTTATTGAACTCTCTTTTTAATACAGGCCCAGTGAGAGGTGACAGAAAAACAAAGATTAACAAAACCTCTGTGAGGTTTCCCTGGGAAAGGCAGTATTAGATGACAAAGAATGTCAATGCTAGAAGTCAACTATTTCCACAAATATCATATAAAAATAACCACAAAGATGCTAAATACAATATTTATGAGTTATATATCAGCAAATCATATTCTTGTATCAGAATAAGAATTAATATTCAAATAATTGGCTACTGGTTCTCCAAAACTGGGTGCTCAGTTCCCAGGGACAGCACAATACATAAGGATTTGGGAAGAAAATATTAACACTTCTCTTGATATTTATTTTTAATCTACAAAAATGACCAAAAATATCAAGCTTTACTAACATTTAATATGTGGGTGGACACTGCCTCCCTCCTGTGATCAACATGTCAAAAACAGCCGTTTGGGGCTGGGGTTATGGCTCAGTGGTAGAGTGCTTGCCTAGCACACATGAGGCACTGGGTTCGATTCTCAGCACCACAATCAAATAAATAAAATAAAGGTCCATCAACAACTAAAAAATATTTTTAAAAAACAGCTGATTGGGGGCTGGGGATGTGGCTCAAGCGGTAGCACGCTCGCCTGGCATGCGTGCGGCCCGGGTTCGATCCTCAGCACCACATACAGACAAAGATGTTGTGTCCGCCAAATACTAAAAAATAAATATTAAAAAAGTTCTCTCTCTCTCTCCCTCTTTCTCACTCTTTAAAAAATAAAAAAAAAAACAGCTGATTGTCTCATAAGATAAACAGGTGTCTTAAGAATGGGAATTCCACAAAGAGGCAGGCCTGAGGCAGTGCTCTTCCTTGTTTATGGGGAGTACTAAGTTTACATGTGCCTACTTCAGTGAATTTTCCAAACGTGGTCTAGTTTTAATTAAATTGCTGCTCACAAAATGACAAGTGAATTAAGAAAGTTCCTATAAGGGCTGTGGTTGTAGCTCAGTGGTAGAGTGTTTGCCTCAAATATGTGAGACACTGAGCTCGATCCTCAGCACCACATAAAAATATAGATATTGTGTCTATCAACAATTAAAAAATAATTTTTTAAAAAAAGGGTTCCTACAAGAAGACAACTGATTGAAGGCAATATAACACTCCCATCACAGGTAAATAAGAAAACAGCAACACGACAACTCTACTCCTAAGTAATCAGATTTTACAAAATGACACCAAAATTTGAATAACCAAGAAGATCATTTGAAACATAAACTATAATTATCAATGAACCTGAACCTGCAAACAAATGACATTAAAATATTTGCTGAATAACTATTTGTTGACTGTTTTAACCTGAAACAAGCTTAAACAAAATTACAATCTGCTAGTAAATTAACCATCTTGTAGTAGGGACATAGAAAGTACTTCTCACTTAATAAAAATGGCTAAGGGCTGGGATGTAACTCTGTAGTGGAGCACCTGCCCAGCATGTGAAAACATGAAAGCCCTGGGTTGGACTCCCCAGGACCACAAAACTGTAGTTCCAGCTACTTAGGAAACTGAGGTGGGTAGATAGCTTGAGACCAGAGTTCAAAGTGAGTCTGAGTCACACAGCACATAGTGACACCACATATCAAAATAATAATTAATAATAATAATAATAATAAAGAATGCTTCTATCTGTTAAGGCAGTCCTAAGCACTTTTTTTAAAAAAAATATTTTTTAGTGTTAATGGACCTTTATTTTATTCATTTATTTATATGTGGTGTTAAGAATTGAACCCAGTGCCTCACACATGTGAGGCAAGCACTCTACCACTGAGCCACAACCCCAGCCCCCCTAAGCACTTTTCATATATCATCTTATTTAATATTCAAAGAACTGTATTAAGTGGATACTTTTTAATTTCCCACTTTACATATAGGAAATTGAGTTACACACAAGATTAAGTTAACTTCTCGAAGGACACAATCAATAGAGAATTCAAAAACCAAGGTCTGTCAAAGTCCTGAACTTACAAGACGTCTGCTATAGTGAAGGAAAGAAATGATCTGACATTGACAGACCCTCCAGGCAGCAGTTCTTGAATCTTAACATACCCTATTCAAACCAAGTAAAATACATTCCATTGGTCTAACAATGAAGGGCCATTTTTCAGGCCTTCTTTTGAGGGATTACATATCTATTTGTCTTACTAATATACGAATATTTCATATTCAAAGTGCAATGTAGAGTCACTAAAAAATTACAGATCAAGCACTGGGGCTGTAGCTCAGTGGTAGAGCACTTGCTTCACATGGATTTGATCCTCAGCACCACATGAAAATAAATAAATATATTTTTTAAAAGTTACAGAACAAGAATGCTATTGATACAAATATGCATCAAAATACACTACTGGGTTAACTGAGCAACCTAAAACTAAATTTCATGATGAGAAGGCTAAACAGTAACTTACAAGAAAAAAACAATAGAAACAACTGGAAAACTCAATTTGACATATGCTGATGATATGTCTTTCCAGAAATGTAAAATAACTCTAACCCATGCATGTTCGTGACATGTGTTGCTACACATTGCATGGAAGCCAGACTTAGAATAATCAGTATCCTTCATAAACTCTGTATTATGCTAATGTGAGTTTATGAATGCCACAATTTGCATACCCTTAGTGCTTCATTTGATTAGTTATTAGTAGGCTGCCAAAGGATATATATAAATGAGAGACTTTGAGTTTGCCTGTTATTTGCCAATATTTTTTATCAGGGCCCATCAGTGGCTTTGGACCATCTTTGGAAAATGTTCTTTCAAACTAGGCAATGCTCCAGGCTTGCTTTGGCAATGTAACTAATTCTGTGGTGTCTAGGAGAAGGGACTGCTTTATTATTCAATTACAAAATATCTAAGACTCCCAAGGCAAAAAAAGAAAAATAAAGGCCCAATTTCTAATCCACAGTATTATTTTTATTTTCTATTCAATTCAAGCCTCAGTCTCTCAGGGCCCAATCTCTAATTAAAGCAATTTTCCCAAGTACCTGCAAACATACAAACAAAAGCATTCAAATAGGGCATTCCTGAACAAAGTAAATATCAAATGACCCAAATGAGCTTCACCCTATTGTAGGTTTTTTTGAATTTTTTATTCTTTTTAGTTATACATGACAGTAGAATGTATTTTGATATGTCATACATACATATTATGGGTTAAAGTTTCCCCCAAATACAGAAGCTTGCTGTTTCTTTCTCCCTACCAAGTACATTCTTCAATTTATGCTTCAGAAAGGGGTCAGGTACAAAGACTTAAGAGATTTTCCTAACCCAAGTTCTGAAAGCTTACCCAAGACCTATCTCACCCGGTCATCAACCCTCCTAAGTTGCAGCTCTCACTTGCTCCATGTGTGACTTTGTATAAGGCAGTCCTCCAGAAGGTGAAAGGCAAGCCACAGGCTGAACTCTATGAGTAGCTCATTCATACATCTCGGTTTTACATAACTATTCTTTTTTGTACTCAGCTGTACTGGTCCCAAGTCCGCTGAAAACTACATGAACAGTACGCTGACAGCAAAAAATATATGCACTTAGAGCCAAAACAACAATGAAAAATCATGATAGGTGCAGAGGTTATTAGTTGTAATAATATTTGAAAATACAGGACAAGCCACTTCCATTTAATTTCTTCAGTGGCAACTTACAGGTCTACAATATTCTTGCCCAGATTTAAATGATATATTTTCTGAATTAATAGATGTTATTATAGCATGAATTCCCATTAAAGCAGTGGAATCATCAATTGCAGCAATCTAATTTCTTTGTAGCAAAGCTACTGTGAACATCTGCATTACTGTCTGTATAAAGGAAACTGGCTTTTCATTTGCAGAATGTTATAAAAACCTTCTACTATGCATGCTTTGACTACAGTTTGTTAAACATCTTGGCTATTTTCTGTGAAACTAAAAAAAAAAGGTTAACTCTGAAAAATTAGTTCAAACTACAATCTTGATTTATAAGTTTATTTGTGCCATTCTAGAACAAAATGCAAAGAAAATATTCACAAATCATATTAGTCTTTGTTCTTTTTCTCCTAAATAATCTCTTCCTCTTTAGTTTCAAGAGGCTTATCTTTATTCTAACATACCATTCTCTACCACAATAAAAAAACAATACACAAAACAGAGGAGAAAGTATTCCCAGGGGGCTGGAGATGTGGCTCAAGCGGTAGCGCACTCACCTGGCATGGTGCGGCCCGGGTTCGATCCTCAACACCACATACAAAGATGTTGTGTCCGCCAAAAACTAAAAAATAAATATTAAAAATTTCTCTCTCTCAAAAAAGAAAAAAGAAAGAAAGTATTCCCAGGTAGTCTAGAAGTTATTATTTAAAACTACAGCCACTGACTAACAAAAAATAAGGGGTCACTGAGTCAACCAAGAACTCTTCCCAAATCCAAATCTATAGTGCTTTCATAAGAATAAGGGAACAAACAAGCTCAAATCAATTACCTGCATTTTAGAAAAGTTCATGTCTGGGACTGGGGTTGTATCTCAGTGGTACAGCACTTGCCTAGCAAGTCTGAGGCACAGGGTTTGATCCTCAGCACTACATAAATACATAAAATAAAGGTATTGTGTCCATCTACAACTAAAAATATTTTTTTAAAAAAGTTTACGTGCAAAAACTCCATGTCTCTTAAGATTAGCAAAATGGTTTTTTTCTATAAAACTGTTACTCTTTCATGTTTCAAACTTAATCTTACTCCCAAACTTCCATAGTCCCCATGAATAAGCAAATACGTGATCTTCCTTTCACCTTTTCTGGTGCATATATATATATATATATATATATATATATATATTTCGCTTAATACTGTGGGACAATAAAGCCCATAAAAAGGGGAAGAATAATGTATTTTTTTTCCTACTGTTTTGGAACAAAAACTCTAAAGGATAGGGGATGGGTCGTCTGTATTCTGTGCACTAATCCCCCCAAGACATTATTGAATAATTGATGAGCTTATGATTAGACTGCTGCTCTCAGTTTTGAACAACATTCATGGACCAAACTTAATTCACATCTAATATTGAATTCTATCTCCTTTATTGTGAACAAAATATGCAACAAGGCTGATCTGTTTCTTAGAATTTCATCAGTTGATTCTTTACCTTAAGTCATAATCTTGATATGTGACCAGCTCAGCTACAGCACCAAGTTGGAATGCCACTGACACAGATTCTCAGAGCCCATCAAAAGACAAGACTAGGGCCATGCCTTTGGAAGAGCGCCTACAATGAAGGCACCTTAGGAATAAATACATTGACACAGAAGAAGAGCAACTATTTATACTGTCTAAGCAGAATTTCCTTTGAATGTCATTTCTAAAAGAAAAAGTAAACTGTGGTTAATAAATTTTTTAAATGTTAAGTTGGACTTCATTTCACTGAAATGGCATCACATTATTTGACAAACATAAAACCATCAAGTGTAGTAAAAATTCTGTAATAGACAAATGCCTGTCGTCTATTTCATTCTCAGAGTTTATAAACGAAGATGCATATGTTTTATTTGAAATGGTGGAATCTGATGATGATGAAAACAAAATTCATAAAAACATTCTCTTCACTGTACCCATGAGTAAATCTAAAGTAACCCATACACCCTGTGGATAAGGTGGCTTTTTAAAGATGAATGAAGGATGCTCCATGCAGACAACATGGCAAGGGCAGGAGACTTAGTAACACAAAGCGAAAAATGTGAGACTTAAAAGGATGTTTGTTTTCAGTAAAAACAGAAAAGAAAGGAACAGATAAACACTGGTGGAACCTTGTGATATAAAATGTGTCTAAATCAAGATGTTTTTCAAGGAAACAAAGATCAGAAACTGGGAAGTGTTCATAGTTCTGCTGGGTAAGACCTGTGCAAATCATTTCAAGCCCCCAAGACTGAGTTTCTACCTTGGAAAAGGTTGGAGTAGGGAGTTAGGCTGTATTCTGTGATCCTTCAAGTTCTGTAACTAAATAATATATGTAGAAAACGATGCTTCATATACTACTGGATGTATAAATTGGTTCAGCTTTTTGGATAGTTTGACTCATCAAAATTTTAAATACATAAAGTATTGCAGATTACAGCATTGTTTATAATTTCAGAAAGCTGGAGGTACTAAATGTCCATCAATACAGTGAGCGGAAAATAAACTGTAATGCATTCAAACAATGTAGCCATTGAAAAGAATAAAGTAGAGCTGCAGTTTTGACCTGAATTCCAAAGGACAGTGACATGAGCAAGTCTCAGTACTATAGGATCCATTTATGTAAATATATGTATATATATAAGTGTGTCTATGTACATATATGTATATGTACACATCTGGCACTTAGAAGGCACCTGCATATTTATTGAACTAAATTAAATAAACGTAGACATAGGAAAAAGGAATTTCAAGCATACACTATTAACACAGCAACCCCCAGGGACGAGGGTGGGAGTGAGGGAAGATTAAAAATAAATGGAAAGTTTTATGTTCAAACTCAGTGTATTTCTGAAATATTTCCTTCTTTTAAAAAAAATATATAAAGTCTTTCATATAAATGAAATTTCAAAAAATTTTAAAGTATAACATTAGAAAAGTGATAAAGATTGTCAAAAGGATGCATTGTTGGGGCTGGGGTTGTGCCTGGCATGTGTGAAGTACTAGGTTTGATCCACAGCACCACATAAAAATAATAAAATGAATTAAAATAAAGGTATTGTGTCTATCTACAATTTAAAAAAGTAAATTATTTGTTTTTAAGTTGTAGATGTACATAATACCTTTATTTATTTATATGTGGTGCTGAGGATCAAACACAGTACCTCATGCATGCAAGGCAAGTGCTCTACCACTGAGCCATAACCTCAGCCCCCCAAAAAAATTTTTTAATAAAAAAAATTTTATTAAAAGGATGCATTGTTTAAATGCATTTGACCTCTGACTTGTACCTTACAGAGAAACGATGCAATGAGAAATGAGTGAACACTGAAGCAGACAGAATTTCAACACAAAATTTTTAAGAATTAGCTAAACATCTGCCCAAATGCAAATCTTGGATGGGGAGTGAATAGGCCTTTCTTCCTGGTGTCCCACAGGAAGCATCAATAAATTCAATGAGCTGAAATAATCTTAGCCTAGGCTAGAGACACAAATGTGGGACCCCATGCCAGTCTTAGCAATCAGTTATAGAAACATATATGCCCATCTTAAAAATCTCTTGACTATTTAAATCAAATATTTTCACTAAGTTCTCCCTTCCCCTAATAGTCTGCAGGTATTTGGTTACCTCATTTCTGCTTTACTAACCAAGATTATATTCCCTTATCACATTTTCCACATTTCTCATTTCTTTTCAAATATTTTTAAAATTACAAAATCACTTTATTATGCAGTACATTTCTTGGTGTTCTCTCTCAAAGTCTCTAGTGATTGAGGTTCTTTTCAATTTTATAAATACTTTCAGTGGAATGTAAACAAATCTTAACCACAGCATAATTCTGAGAGTACTCAGTATTTAAAAATCTCACTATTTTACCTTTTAATTCAGAAAAATACAAAATTCTTATTCTGGCATTTTTACACAATACACAGGTTTGCATTTTTGAAACAGAGGAAGCCTAGGACCCTTCGTTTTTTTAGACACTTCAGCGTTATTTGCCTTATTAGCATAACCTCTACTGCTTTCTATAAGCAAGAGAATCTATGGGAAGAATGTGTTTAAAAATGGAAATTCTGAAAGGAAACCGTTCACACAGCTCAGTTCCAAGAAGATCTCTTCTCAACTAATATTCTAGTCAACAACTGGAGACGGCTTACTTGGAGGGCAGCCCAGCAGAATCACAAAGGAAGAGAGAGGAGGTGATAAATATGACCCCTAAATACCAACTAAAAGTTCACCACTCTTACTTAACCTATGCCCTAACCTAGAGATTACAAAACAAATGACAACTATCATTTCTTCCCTGGTCTTACTTCCCCCACAATTAACAAAAGATAATGCAAAACCAAGTTATTTATAAGTCTTAGCATTCTTAAGTCTTTTCCATAGAAACGATGGTGCAATATGTGGTGGCCAGCCCACAAATGCCTATTTATTCCCAAGGTGCCTTAAGGAATGAGTGCTATGGAAACTAACCAGATGAGTAACAACCTGGGGAAATGAGATCTATTTGGGAAGAAAAAAGAAGGGCATCCGCTCCAGGGAAATAGGCAGCAAACTCTTTTCCATCCTCCTCATGCTCCCAGTCAGGGCTGAGGGGATGAGGGGTGGAAGTCACTGGGTCCCACCAGGTATTCCTATTCTGCCTTCTTCCCTTTCAATGGTCTCATCTGCTGATTTTCCATGGGGTTTCACTCTCTTGGTTCACTCCTCAGTAGAACACAGCATCAGACATTTTACCAACTCTCCCGTCACTTTGAAGCAGCAGCGGCCACAAGAGTGGCTCTTTTCCACATGTGGCTACCAAGCACTTAAAAACATGGTTAGTCAAAATTGATAAGCTGTAAGTTTAAAATATACATTATATTTCAGAGACTTAGTAAATTTCATTTTATTTTACTGAGTTCATACTGAAATCATATTTTAGGTACATTAGGCACTATAAAATTCATTAGGTTGCACAAATTAATTTTACCTGATTCTTTTTGCTTTTTTTTCTTCAGCATTCCCACTGGAAATTTTTTAATCATGTATGTAACATATATTGTAGCTCACACTTCTGGTGGACAGCACTTCTTTACAGATTGTCTTGGAAGGGCAGTAAAAAGTATCCAGTCACACTGCCTGAATTCAAATCTGAGCACCACCACTTACTACCATGTAACCTGTGATGCACTACTTAACATCTTTCTCTTCTATAAAATCTAACCTTTGATATACTACTTAACATCTTTCTCTTCTGGAAAATGTGGGTAATAATAAAATGCCATCTCAGAGAACTATTGGTAAAATTAAATGAGGTAAAGTAAAGCAATTACTAGGGGCCTAACATAAACACTACTCAATAAATATTTACCATTACTACACTTCTACAGCAACAACTACTACTACTATTCACTAATAGTACATAATGAAGAAAAAGACAAAGATATAAGTAGGTAGAAAGACGGAGAAAGATTTCTTTGTTTCATAGAATCAAGGCAATTCATAGAAAAGTCTCTTTTCAAAGCCCTGGGGGTAAACTTATGAAATAACATCTCCATTTTACTAGATAAAAATGTTTAGAGAAAGCATGGGAATACACAGATAAGGGGCCCTGGCTGGTGTTTCTACAGCAGGGTAAAGAACCTCAGCCCAGGCTCTGTAGGACCTGGGCCCTGACTCTCTTACTAGCCAAGTCAGCTCTCCTCTTTGGCTTTTGTTAACCTCACTTGTAAACAAGAAGGGCTAAAAGTTTTCTAAGTCCACTGCACCTATATATTCTTCTCCCCTCATCCCAAACCGGACCACAGGACAAGAATGACTATACAGAATGCCAACACCATAAAAACATCCAACATAAGCACTGATTGTGCTAGTGCCAGGCCCTCTCATTTGTTGAGCCTACAGTAAAAGCCAGGGATGCACAGCTGACAGCTGTTCTGAGATGTCCACGTCTCCTTTCACACCAGGTCATTAGCGTACCTGGAATAACTACATGGACTCCTATTTGGATGAACGGTTCAACTTAAAATGCTTAGTATTTGCTAATTTTGTTTCTTTTCACATCATGTTCTAAAGCAAGTTTGTGGTAGTCACACTAGCACTGTATTTTTATTATAGCCTTTCCCAAAATGGACTTGAGGAGGTCTGAAAGCCTTATAACTTCCTTTTCACTGACCTCCTCAATTATTAAGTACTCACTGGGCACACGATGCCATTCCTTGAAATTAATTTTCACAATTAAATAGACCTTTAAAGCTTCTAATTCATTTCCCAACTCTCATTTTTCAGATATGAACAGAGAATAATCATCATCTTGTGGCTCATTATACATGCTATAAAATATTTCACCCCAGCCGTGAAGCTGGCCATAGTAAATATGTTTTGTTGCCTTAATCAAGATTTATGACAATATAATAACGTTATTTTTAAAGACCACGTGCCAAAGTAATTCCTAAATTAATAAAAATATTTAGCACTTAACCTATAACACACTTTAAAATTATCACACAATCTTGCAGGTAGCTATTTGCCCATGTGCCCAGGGCCAGTAACAATTGATGGAAGGCCTGTCACCAAGCCTATTTACTTGATTTATTTTACACTAGCCTTCTAAGGCCACATACATAATGGGTCCTCACTTTGTGATGGGAAAATAAATTATTTAGTCTGAACAACCTGACAGTGCTACTATGAAGTTATTACTTCACTGAGAGGGGGGAAATTCCCTTATTAGCCTTTTCTTCGTGCCCAAATAAGAACACTGTTAGTGAATATTCACAGATACCTAGAAACTAGAGATGGGAAGAACTTAAGAATCATAACCATGGCTTTTTACGAACGAGAAAACTGAGAGACTTGTTGAAGGCCACAGCCGTTCAGGGGTAGAACCTGGGATAAATAAGGAAAGATAAGGCACTGGGATCTCAAAGTCCTCACTATCCCTATGGGGTGCCAAGGAGGATAAAATAAAATGCCCGAAGTAAAGAGTACAATGTCAGACATTTTTTTTTTTAGTTGTAGTTGAACACAATGCCTTTATTTTTATTTTTTTAAATTTTTTTTAGTTGCAGTTGGACACAATACCCTTATTTTATTTATTTATTTTTATGTGGTGCTGAGGATCGAACCCAGTGCCTCACCCACTTAGGCGAGCACTCTACCACTGAGCCACAACCCCAGCCCAATGCCTGACATTTAACAGTCATTTTCCTTCCCAGAGTTTCCTCCCTCAATATCCCCATCTTTTGTTATTGTTGTTATAAAATATAATTTAGGATGATGCACTCTGGTGATGATTTTCTAACATGTATACTGCATTCACAACAGATAAAGTAAATTAGACTCCATTCAGGAACAGATAAACCCTCACCTGAGAGGCTCCAGGGGAAGCAAGCACCTGATCCTAACTCCCATTAGTTAAGTCTCTACTCTCCAAAAGTTTCAAGAACTTTCAACTCACTGGACTGAGCCCAAACCAGCTTCCTCAAGGTTGAGAGTATGCCAAGTTTACAGTTAGCTTTTCAACCTCATGTTCCACATACACTCTCTAATCCCCTGTCTAGTTTTTGTTCCAACTTTCTCCAAGATTATCTATCGTCCTGGTCTCCTCTTTCCAAACTCCACTTCATTCCTGAATCTATGGAAGTCCCACAACCAGCCCATCACTCCACTGAAACTACTCTCACAAGGCTAACTATGACTTCTGAACTAAAACAATCAAGCCACTTTTCCATCCTTACCTTCCTGTGTCACTCTGTAGCATATGACACCTTCCGCCAGGGTCTTCTTGAAGCTCTCTACTCCCCTGGCCTCTGTAACACTCCACTGTTCTCCTTTTACCTCTTGGTCTCTTCTTTCACTACTGCCTCCTTAAGAAGAGTTCCATTCTCCAGGGTGATGCCTTCCAGCTGTGTTTAGTTACCAATCCTCTGGATATCAACTGCCACTTAACAATTTCCAAATCTCCAACTCTAGCCCAAATCTCTCTTCTGAGTTTCAGACTCACATGTACAGATTCATATGCCTGAGGTATGATGCCACTGAATGTCCCCACTGGCTCCTCAGCTCAACTACCGAACTTATCCTTCTATGGTAGAGATTTTCTGAAGAGCACAGAAAAAGGTAACAGAATGCCATCAGTATCAACCTTCCACAACTCAGTTGTAACATTATTGCCACTCTGTAGTATAGAAATAGAATGCCTAATCAGATATGTATTACCTCATTTGGGAAACAAAGTACCAATGTGTAAAAGCAAACAAGAGTACATAAGGCTAAGCCTCCCTACACTAAATGCTTAGCCTTCGGATAAGAATCAGCTGAGCCTGTGACAGCACAAACAAACTCTGCTTCCTATTGAATGCCCTGGTGTCCTGTGTCTTTGTGCATATCTGCCTCCGCTGTCCTTTACTGTTTTTTCTTTTTAATAATTTTTTTAGTTGTCAATGGACTTTTATTCTTATTTATTTATATGCAATGCTGAGAATCGAACCTAGTGCCTCAAGCCCAGCCCTCCTTTATCATTTGTTTGTTTTAAAAAAATACCTGAGACCGGGTAATTTATGGAGAACAGAAATTTACTTGATCATAGTTCTGGAGGCTGGGAAGTATAAAGTCAAGGAGTTAGCACTTTCAGGTGTCTGGTGACGGGTGTGTCCTCCAGAGGAGAGAAGCAGTATGTCCCCCTGTGGCAGAGGAACAAGGGAAAGCTAACTAAATGCTGTGTGAAAGGAGAAGCCTCCACAGCCTAATTCATTCTCTCTCTCTCTCTCTCTCTCTCTCTCTCTCTCTCTCTCTCTCTCTCTCTCTCATTCCAGAGTCCTTTGTCTTAAAAGTGACACCACCACACAATAATCCATGCTAGACCTGAAAGTCTCCCTTGACTCCTTCTCCTGGACCCCACCATATCTAATTAGCTCTGATTTCACCTCCTGGATATTCCTCAAATTCATCACTCCTACACCTAAAAGCTTCTAGATCCAGTTTCAATTACCCCTCACCTGGGGGTAATTACATCAAGAGCTTCACAACTATTTCCCTGCCTCCTATTTTGTCCCCCTTAATTCCACCTCCACTTTGTCTGCAGAAGTAATCTAAAATGAAAATGTAATCATGCTACTCCCCTGCTTAACACTTTTCTAATGATTCTCCAACTAAAGAGTTCTCAGGTTATACCACTCTCTACACCCATTAGGCATGGCCTGGAACATATCTCTCAACCTCTATATTTTCCCTTGTGGATGTCCCACAGGATTGAATGAGAGAATACCTATAAAGCACTTAGTACAGTTCCTGGCATATACTATTAAGCTGCTTAACAAATGAGAGTCAACAATGATCACATTATTGGGCTAGTACACAAGTTCATTGCCAGGGCAGAATGGGCCCTCTTTAAACCAACCTTGCTCACTGCTCTAGGCCCCTTCTGAGGACACGCTGCCTCTCACATTCTGCTCCAGAAACAGGAAGCTAGTTATGGTTACTTAGCCTTACATACGTCCCCATCTCTCTAACAAACATTCTCCCCTCACCCACTAAATAGGGAAGACCTTATTTTGTAAGCCTAGTGAAGTGTCACCTTCACCAAGACACCTTCTCTAAGCACCAGAGCTTATTAAGTTTTCTCCTCAAATCATTAGCTAAGTATCTTAGCACATAAATTCTAATAGTCTTCTGGATATATTTCGATCACAGCTTTTACCATTTTACACTATAAACATCTAACTTTAAAACTGTCTCTCCCTCTAAGATTACAAATTCTTTGAGGGAATAGACCATGAAACATTCTCCTTTGTACCCACTATACCTATTATAACCTAGCAAGAGGTCTACACACATATCTTAAATGAAAGAGAAACTGCCTGGACCACTACTCCCCAATTCCACCTGAGATTAATTTTTTACCTTAAAGCCACACCAGACTCTAATACAACTACTTATGTGGAAGTAGAAGCTAGAGTGGGGCTGAGGTGGGACAGCACATGGGCCTGGGTTCAATCCTTAGCACCACATTAAAAAAAATAAATTACAATAAAGTATGTATCCATCTACAACTAAAAAAAACTTTTAAAAAAAGAAAAGAAGTTAGAGTGGGAGCTACTTACCAGCCCACTTCATGCCTATGTGCTCCTAGATGTAATCCAGCCTGAAACAGAATGCATGAGTGATTTCAGAAGTTTCTCAATCACTGACAAATAAATGCAGGCAACAAAGAATTAATTGAAGGCCCTAGAGAAAGTCAGTGTTTCTAGAGGTAGCAAAAAACAGTTTCTCTAGCCTTAGGAGAACTGACAAACTCTCATGGGGTGATTTCTCAATGTCAAAGGAATTACATTACCACTGAAAGAAATGGCACATAATTACTTCAATAGTTAACAAAGTATACATATTTTTATATTTAGATAATTAAACATTGAATTGAGGGTGACAGAACTACAGAGAGCCAAGGAATCAGTGAAAACGGTGCAAAGGCACACGAGATTATTACTCCTACAAAACACTAAACCAATTATCAGAGAGAAATTCCCCCAAGCCACCAAATATGTATGTAAATGAAGAGATGGCTCCATAGTGGTGCTTTTAATGCAGGCCAGGAAATCTTGAGTAATGTTGGTGCACATTAGTAAGGTGATGAGCCAAATTAGGAGTTTAAAAAAAAAAAAAAACTAGCAAATTTAAATTCTCACAATCCAAATTTGCCTATTTTAGGATAAGTTAGTATTAAGAACATCATGCCATGTACTCTGTAGGCAGTAATGTACTGATATGGAATAGCCTCCATGATATCAAGAAGAGCAAGATGCAGTATCTCTTATGTATTTTTAAATTTTGTACCGTATTCATATATTACCTCCTTAAAAAGTAATTTTAAAAAAGGTAATGAGTTCACAGTAGAGGAGATATTACAAAGGGAATTTCTCCATCTGATTGTTTCAATTTTAAACTTCGTCAAGGTACCAAAACTATAGCATAAATATCAGCAGGCCTTAAATAAGTGATGTTCAGGCTGTTAATATAAGACTCAAAATAAACAGAAACATGCAATTGGTTTAACTGCTTTCCAAAACACTTTCCAAAATACTTTACTACTATGTGCTAAATTTGAAGATCTGCATACCATATAGCTCAGGAATTCTATCATACACACCTACAGCAAGGTGTGCTCACAAGAAGGCCAGAGATTTTCAGTAGATAAATACATATATCAACAGGGGAATGTATAGGGAGAGAGTAGAAAGGACAGAAGAAACAGGGGTGATGCTTCTGCAAAAAACCTTTTTGATTGTGGAACCATGTTAATATTTCGCAGACCAAAAAAGGACAACAAAAAATTTTAACAAAAATGGAGGAAGGGAAGCCTAACATGAAATACAAACAAAATCATATGAACCAAATTGTATTTCAGATGAATAACAACAATACTGAATGAAGGTAGGGGATAAATAATCCCTGTAACCTTGGAACACACCACCTGAACTACAGGCTAACATTAAAAAAGAACACTGAACTCTAGCTAATGGATTTCTTTTTCACAGAGGAATGGGTTAGCAATTTTGAATCTAATTTCTGGGTCCATTAGAAGTTGCAAATAAATATGCTGATAAAGGGAGCTAGGTTCTCCTTGCTAGAGAAAAGAGTTACAAATAAGTAAAGGAGAATGGACAGAATAAACCCTATAGTGTAGGCCTGGAATAGGAGGTGTCAGCATGAACTGGTGGTTTTTATAGTTAGCAATTACAAAATATAGAAATGTGTGGGATGGACACACACACACACACACACACACACACACAGTAGCTCTGTGTTAAAAGGGCCTAGAAGCAATTATAAAGGTAGCTATGGACACATCTAACACTGAGATCTTGTTTCTAAATACATATTCTTTTCCACCAAGGACTCCTTTCAGAAATAACTAAAAAGAATATAGACTATCTTGTATCAGAAAATAAGAAAATAGTAAAAGAATAATGGAAATATGTCACAAAGATACAAAGCCACCTTTAAAGGGTTCCCATTGGGCAAACCTGGGGTAATTTGAGTAAACAGACATAAGAATTAAACCCACTGAAAACGTGGGAATCCATCTATGACACTGAAGAGCTAATAATTAACTAGTCAATTAATTAACAGGGAAAGCCAATCAATAAATGTAAAGGAAATGATGAGATTAGAAAATTTGGCAACGATCATGACAATAATTCAGGAAAGAGTCAATGGATGCTAAAATTAACAGGTACAAATTCAAGAAATAACAGGAGATTTACATAGTCTCCAAGTATATCCCCAGAAGATATTACTAACAAAGGAAAAACTAGTGATTACAGTGGAGAAATCAGGCACACCATCTTAAATGATCCAAGTGAACATCCCTAATGAGACAAACAACATCATCAGCCTCTTGACATGAAACAGAAAAACACAAAACTTCACATCTATAGTGTTCCTGCTAAAAATGCATAATATGGGTCCAAGGATGACCAGCAAACCTCAAATGAGACACACTGTATCAAAACAAAACAAAACAGGGGGCAGGGTGCTGGGGCTGCGGCTCAGTGGTAGAACGTTTGCCTAGTATGTGCAAGGCGCTGGGTTCCATCCTCAGCAACACATAAAAAAATAAATAAATAAAGTAAAGGTATTTTTAAAATTACAACAATCTTTAAAAAAATTTTTTTTAATTAAAGAAAAAAAAAGGACCTACATAAAATGTCAGGTAAAGACATTTTGAAGGTAAAGAACTGTCCCAGACTAAAGGAGACCAAATGAAAGCAGATGAATGCATCTTTTTCCCCTTATTTGTTTTGCATGACAGGTTTCTGTTGTTTTTGTTTCTACAAATAATATTCATGGATATATCAATTGGGACAACTGAAGAAACATGATTAAGGCCTGTAGGTCACATAGTAGTAGTATTTGATGATTATAATGTGGTAAAAGAATCTTCTTGTTTTTAGAAAATGCGCACTGAAGGATTGGATATTTACAGTTGCAACTTAAAACAGTTCAGGGGAAACAGAAAAAGATAAAATAACTGTGATAAAATTTAACATTAGGAGAGATGTGGTGAAGGTTATAGGAAAATTCTTTTTACTATTCTTGCAACTTTTCTATATAGATAATATTAGGTTAAATTTTTTTTAAAAAAGTAAGCAGACAACTGATACTAGCTGTGGGTAGAGGTAGTGAAGTTAAGATCTGATTAACATCCAAGAATTATCAAAATATAAACCTAACTCTCCTGATGAAACCAATTATGTTCTATATACACCTTCTAAGGAAAACGAGATTTGGAATATGATACATCTTACTTAGGATGTTACTCAAGAAAAAAAATTGTGAAGTACCCAAAGGACTTAAATATAAATTAAACGGATTCAATGAACCCTACAACCCAAAGTCACTGTGAAATTGAAACGTGTGCTTTCAGACAGTGGTTGTGCACGTACTTTTTTTCTAGAAGTTTGAATGGTAGATCACCTTACCTAGAATGTTTAGTTATGTTTCACATTAATTATTAAAACTATTAAGTATAAATAAAATTTTATAAATATTATACAATAGAATAAAAATGAAAGCATTCTAGTTATATCAGTACTAAAGCTAATGTTATAGATATAAAACTTCAAGGAATCCACAACAAATTTATGAAAACTTGCTTTATATTTTAAAAACCATCAATTTGGGGCAGGGGGAGATACTGAGGATTGAATCCAGGGGTGCTCTAACACTGAAATACAGCCACACCCTTTTTAAAAATTTTTTTTATTTTTAAACAAAGTCTCACTAAGTTCCCAGGCTAGCTTTGAATTTGAGATCCTTCTGCCTCAGCCTTCCAAGCCACTGGGATTACAGGTGTGTACCACCACACCTGGCTAACTCATAATCTTAAGAGCATTTCCAGGAAATATTGTGGATACAATATTTTGTATTTTTCCAGAAAAATTCAAGCATGTGCTATAAGAAACAATATTAGCTGATAAAATAATTTCATATGAATAAAAATTTATGGTTATCTAAAAATATGTCCACATAATTATTTAAAATTCACAAATTCTTCAATCTATCCTCCAAAAATGTGGAGTCTCTAACTGCCTCATCTTGAATATAGACTAGACTTAGTGACTCACAACAAAGAGAATATAGCAGAAGTAAAAATGTATGTATTCAAAATAGAGCATAAAAAGCATATGAAACTCTTGCTCTCTCTTAAATCACTGCTCTGTATAAAGACAGCAGACATGTTGTGAGGACATTTAAGCAACCCTAAGAAAGACGTGAGGCCACTGTTGACAGCCAGCAAGGAATTGAGGTCTCATGCCAACAGTCATCTAAATAGACCCTCTCAGGAGCACATCCTTCAGCCCAATGAAGCTTTCAGATGACAGCTGCAGCACTGGTCAAAAGTTTGACTATAACTCATCCATCACTCTGAGCCAGAACTACCTGGCTAAACAGCTTCTGAATTCCTCACCCATAAAAATTGTCAAATAAAAACTATTGGTTGTAAACAAGCAAGTCTGAGGATAACTTGTTAGCAAAGATAATAAATACAGTATTTAAGAGATATTCCATTTGCAGAATTATAATTTTGTAGAAATATTTGGTGTAGAATTATATAAAATTGACTGTTATTTATGAGATAATCATAGTCCATATTACCAGGAATGTAGAAAACAGGATCAAAGTGCAAGGAATGAATCAAACCAGAATAACTATAGTAGACCATAAATAGAAAACATTTATTTTATGAATAGATTTAAAAATAAACATTTTAATGGAAGAAACAGTGGTGTGGACAGAGGGAGATTAGCTGGGAAATCTCAAGTATTACATTATTTGGGGTGAGGTTTTAAGGGATTAAAAAATTCTGCATTTATTTTAAATGTCATTAGCTTGAAAACTACAGTTCCTTCTCTAGAAGCTTTTGTACTTGTCTATAAAGAAGTAGTTTATTTAGAATTGCCTGACAGTCAACTAAAAATGCTGTGCATCTCTTTACAGGAAAATCAGCTTTGGGGCCTTTAATTGTCTAGCTCCCTTTCCCTTCTATCCCTAGTTATTATCTTTGACCATTTGAGCAATTACTAAAATCCTAACTTCCTCCACAAATGTTCTATAAATCAGCAGAAATGAGATTATATTTCT